TGTTTTAGTGATTGATGTTTAAATGGTTGTAGGAGTTGTAACTTCTCCCATTTCATCTCACTCTTTTTTACTTGTTTAAGTCAACTTGTCTTGATCTTTTGTTTGCATCCTTTGAGTTTTGTATTTCATCTTTGCATATCATGTTTGCATTGTTCTTGACTTGTTCAAGTCAACTTCTTTTCATCTTTCATTCTATCTGTGATTGGATTATTTGTTGTTTACTTGGTCTTTTGCCATGATCCCTTAGGATTCCTAGTCCCTCTGTTTAAGATAGGAGTAGGAGAGACATTAGGTGTTCAATCCTTTGCATGATAACATTAGGATAGACTTTCCATCTTCATCTCAACATTAGGAGCATTGTGCATGATAACATTAGGGTTGATTAGTTTCCCCTTAGAGTTTGTGTCTTTCTCTTCTCATCTCCTAAACATCTTTTAAGACACCTAATAAAGGATAATAATTGTTGTATGCTACGAGCCTTAAGTACTTGAGGAATGATAGTTAGGGGGCCTCCTCTCAATATGTCTAGAGTGTTTAGTGTATGCCCTTTGGGCGATATGCGACGCATTCGCTCTCAAGTCATAGTCTTTAGTAGAACATGAGTTACAAACTTAACTCAATCCACTTCTTTATAAAAAAACACAAAACAAAACATCAAACTTTTTTATCCTTCTAGATTGTTTGAAAATCACTTTCAAAAAGAGTGTGTTAAGTCTTGGTTCTACTGCAAACAAGCATCGTCCCTAACTGCTGGAACCACCATTTAACCCTACTAAGTTAAAACACTTGAACCATCTTGTAGTCGTGTTAGCCTGAACTACGTTTGCTCTAATTTCTCATACCAGATGAGGATACGTAGGCACAAGACAATGATATCTTGGAGAGAAACCTTTCCCCCTTCACCCATAGTTTTCCGAACTACGTTGACTCTGACTTTCCCATTGCACAAGAAATTACGTATGCATAGAGCGGCGATACTCTATCGAGTCTCTTTTCTTTTCTTTTGTCCCCGTGAGCCAACCTTTGGTAGATTAACACCCTTTTAGATAGACAACAAGCGTTGATCCTGTTGAGTACAACGGACGTGAGGAGTACTCATACCTTCCCCTTGCGTAACCGACTCCCGAACCCAAGATTTGGTTGCGATGACCTGTCTTTCCCCTTTTTCGTAGGTTTTCTCTGATTGTTTCCTTTCTCTCTCTTTGGGATAAATAACGAATAATGGCGACTCTTCTATCTTTGCCGACCCCTCTTCGCAGCGATGCGACACATTCGTGAAAGACGAAGCTGCTAAAGCCAACACACATGTGGTCACAATCTTTGACCGTAACAAAGGTTGGTTCAGTGTTGCCGAGTCGATTGATCATAACGAAGGAAGACCTAGGGGATGTTACCGTGTTGAATTGGATAAGAGCTGGTATGATTGTGGGAAGTTTCAGGCATTTCGTATGCCTTGCTCTCATGTTATAGCAGCATGTTCGAAGTCGCGACAAGACCCAACCAACCTTCTTTCTGCAATTCACCAAGTGATAAGTCTATGCAATGTCTACACATGTAGCTTTCAGGTGGTGGCAAAGGAGGACTATTGGCCTCAATACGAAGGCGAAATTGTCTGGCATAATAATTTGATGCGAAGAAAGAAAAAGGGTCGCCCTAACAGCATGCACATATGAATGAAGATGGATACCGCAAACAAGATGGTAAGATTATGTAGTTCGTGTTGGCAACCAGGACACAATCGTACAAAATGTCATAACATAGGATCAAGCACCAGATCATAGTTTCATATGTAATTGTGTCCCTTTAAATCAATTGCAAATTTCATTTCATTTCATTTAAAACATACTTAACCGATTACAGTTAGCAAGCAACAGAAATTAAACAAATATAACTTAATATCACAACAACATTCCGAAAATAACAACATAAAGACATAAAACAGAACAATGCACCAAGGTGTCTACGATATCACAACCATCAACGTTATTTTCTTGGGTGTTAACATCATCACAAGGACACCAGCATCATTTTTCACTTTTCTCCATTCACGAGTAACTCCGTTTCTCCCTGCCTCCTCGACCAACCTCTCGATTTTCCTAATCTTTTCACCTGCAATAATATCTTCTTCTAGCCAGCGGTTAAGTTCCCTATGCAAATGCTCCAACGTCTGCGTATTCCACAGGAGCACCTTCATCGGAGGCTTTGTTGCTGAAAAATAAACTAGGGCATTTCTTTTCATTAGAGGAAATGTTGGAAACGATTCCTCCGATGCTGATGACGACGACGAAGAACGTTAATTTAGAAACGCAGACATTCTAGACTCCACTCCACTCAAAATTATTAAGACTTCAGTCTTTTGGTATACAATGTTGTGGAAAAATATATGCGTTTGCAGCCGTATTTATAAAAAAATTAAATAGTACGTACGCCATATGATATCCCTTAAATACCCTTACAATTATATATTTACTTATATACGAATTATGTTTTAAAATAGCCGTATTTTTTATTTAAAAACAATATTTAAAACAATATTTAAAAATATATCACAATTATTTATATCAATTTAAATATTTATAATTTTTACATTTATTTATAATATTTAAAATATTTATAATTTAAAAACAATATTTATTATTTAAATTAATTTTTATTTTAAATCACTAATATATTTTAAAACTATAGCACGATTATATTTATTTTTTTAAATATAATTAAATCTAAATCAATTTAAGTTTATTTATATTATTAAACTATATTTATTAATTTATAAAATATATATTTATGAAAATTCGCAAACCTTAAAAAAAAATTAACTGACCTGATTCGTCATTTGAAATGGCGAATCCATTCATTTTTTTGGTCCATGTCGTCAATTTATCTAGCGAGTCCAATTCATCTGGCTTGAGTCGCCAATTCATCTAGTGACCTAAAATTAAAAACATGACCACTTTTATAATTTTTTTCAATTATTTGTTTAATTAGTATTTTTTTTTTTAATAAAGTAGTTATTAAAAAAAAATCACAAGTATAGGTTGTTGGTGGAATAATGGGTTTTTTATATTTTATGACGGCCCCGATTGGCTTGTTCTATGAATGTCAACGTGGCTAATTGTGTATCATCTAATGTAGAGAGTAACTCCATTGATAAAAGTGGAGTGTGGTTAGCTCACGTGCTTGCATTCCATTGCACCTTGTTGAACACTAATTAAGAGGTAGGGTTTGGGTCCACTGTTTGCCCGTTTTATTCTTTTTTTAATGGAATAGGTTATAGGTTGTGATTTCCAACCCATTTGTAGGTCAACATTACTTATTAGAGAAGAATCATTTCATTTCAACTATTTCTCTTCAATGAAAAGATTTAAGATTTCTGAACTTGCACTACTCCATTGCATTTGAAAGCAATACAAATAATTGATATAAAATTTCAAATAAATTAGATATATCAATTATTTAACTATTTACTTAGGAGAAAGATATCTTGGATGTCTTTTCTATTTATTGATATCAAAAGTAAAAATAAAAAGAGACACATTTCAAAAAATTATCATTTTAAGAAATAATTTATATTTAATATAAAAAAATTGCTATGACAATAACTAAAAGGTGATTTAATTATATAAAATTGATTTTGGACAACCGTGAGTTAAAGATAAAATAATTTATGTTGAAACAAATTCTTGAAAATGTGAGTTGAAAAATAATTAAATATCTTTGATTTGTTATGAAAGTTGAGAATTATTTATAAGTTGTGTTATGTTATACCATAGTTCTGAGTTTGTTAACTCGAATGTTCTCATTTTTTTAGCATTATTGGGGTAGATGATGCATGACACCCTTTGAACAAGTATTTTATAGCTGATTTAACATTTTTAGCCAATTTATTTGTTTCTTCTTATTTGTTTTTGAGAGAAATAAATGTTTTTTCTTTATTAGGTCTGTTCAAGTTTGTCTAATAATTAGGATGTCATTTACACTCTCTCTTTTAAATCGCTATCTTTTTGCCTCCCCTAGATAATGCGACTTATTTAATTAAATTCTATATATTTTCATGTAATAATGGAGTTTCATGAAATAATGGAGTCTACGTGAATGAATAATTTTCATGTAATAATGGAGTCTTTGATATCCACTACTATATTATTCTTTTCCATGTTTGTTATAAGTATCATTGTACTCCTTGATTGCAAATTAATGAAGTTTGTATTCTCTAACTAATTTTTCAAATTTCATAATAGTCAACATTATAGGTTGTTATTTTGAGTCAAACTCAAATATTTGTTTTTATTCATATTTTATTTATCTCAAACATTAACTTAAATATTGAAGTGTTAATTTTATTTAAATAATTTTATTTAATAATAACAATTTTATTCTTCCTTTTTTTTCTCTCTAAGTATACCCACTTACGCATGCATTATGTGGAATAAAATAAAAAACCTAAAATGAAGGTGAGAAATAGTTGCTTTTCACTTTCATTCACTTATATAGCATCTCTTGAGTCTATTTCTTTCCTGTGTATCCTTTTCCACCATTTCTTCTCTCTTTCTCTCTCTCTCTTGCCCCCTTTCTCCACTGTATAAACTACTACCAAAGTTGTCACTTTTTGCCATTGGACAAGTATATTATAATACATTATATTATATACAAATAACTTTCTTGACAGTGTCTTCAATTCTTCATCCTTTCTAGCCTCCATTCCTCCAACTTCATGCATGGTTTTTTATTTCAAAAAGGAGGAAACTTTTCCTTTGACTCTTACTTTATCTGGTTTTTGATTTGATTTTCTGATACCCTTTTGCTTCACAGGTTTCATTCTCATTCTACTCATGAAAAGTCTCACCAAATTAATTAATCACTTTTTTCTCCCTCTTGCATGAATCTTTACTTTACTATATATTTCCTCATTTTTCAGGAGTTCAAAAAATGGCAGAAAGTGCCTTGTTCTGTCTCTAGAATTTGGTAGAGAAAGTTAAATACCTTTGAGTTAGTCTTTTAGAATGCCAGTTCCACTTGCCCCTTACCCAACTCCACCACCAGCTCCATATACACCACCATCAGCAAATGGTATCTTACTTTTTTTGTGCTTGATTTCTTCATTGATGCATGTTCTCTATTTGGTCATGTCTTTCATTACTTTATGCCGATGAAACTATTGGAGATTTGATATCCTCTAAATGCATGTTTGACAAAAGTTGTTTGGTTTTCAGGTTCACAGAGTCAACTTGTGTGTTCTGGTTGTAGAAACCTTCTGGTCTATCCAGTTGGAGCTACTTCTGTATGCTGTGCTGTTTGCAATGCTGTCACAGCAGTGCCACCTCCTGGTATGATGCAAGATTCTTCCCTTATTGAGTCTCTCTATCCTTTATGCTTTGTAGCTAAACCACAAGCGTTTGTGTTCTCACAGGCACAGAAATGGCTCAATTAGTTTGTGGAGGATGCCATACTCTACTCATGTACATCCGCGGAGCGACGAGCGTTCAATGCTCTTGTTGTCACACAGTCAATCTAGCTTTGGAAGGTATTGAGCTGTTTCTTAATAGTATAACATAAGGTTTGAAAATTTGTATACCAAGCTTCAAAAACTTGTGTCTTTTGAAAGCTAAATTGTCGCGATTTTGAGAATCAATTGTGTATTGTTGCAGCAAATCAGGTAGCCCATGTCAATTGTGGTAACTGCAGGATGCTTCTTATGTACCAATATGGAGCAAGATCCGTGAAATGTGCAGTTTGCAATTTTGTTACCTCAGTTGGGGTCAGTATAATCTCTTGTTCCTTTAACCCTTGGCTCAACTTGCTCAAACCAGTTGAGCTATCCCTCGCCCCGATATCTTTTAAAATCTAAGTTTGAAATATGGATCGCTCGATCTTGATAGTGCAGTCACAGCTAGTGCGGTGACTGCACACAACCAAGATTCAAGAGCATACACTTTTCAATTTGTTGTCAAATAAGAAATGATTTACAATATTGTTGCGGAATGATGATGCAGGCTTCAGCGAGCACCACTGAGCAGAAGTTCAGCACCTAAGAAAATCATATACTATAATAGCAAGGTCATTACAGACTCTACAACCTTGGTTTTTGCTACTTACATATCAATCTTAAGGAATAATAACAAAGAGTGTCAATCAGATTGAAAACTTTCTTCACATGTATAGAGTTATTTTTCTCTTGCGTGACGACGGAGATTGTATTGAATATTTTTGTTAGAATTGGTGTATGAATAAGTGAATAACTATCTGTTCTAAGATTCTTGATTTTGAGTGCTATAAAAAATCCATATCTTTGGATAAGGTAAAACTTATTCTCTACTCAAGTGGATGAGAAAGTTACTGTGTGTGTATGTGGAGCACCAAACACCATTTATTTCTTTCACATTCTTTTTTGCCTTTTTGGAAATGGAAAAGGTCCAAGTATAGCAAAAGGGTAAAGCAGTCAAATGGATTGATTCAACAAGATAACATCTAGGTCCAAGTCTTAGATATCATAAGATATTTCAGAATGAAATTGAGGTGAGAATTCTTTTCTAGCAAGGAAAACTTTTGTTATTCTATGGTTTCCCTTTGTTGATTTTGACATGCATGACTAAAACCATGTTAATCAGGAATTGGATATACATTGCAGAATATGACTGTGTTCTTACCTCATCTTTGTTGGTTTTGACTAATTGCTGATAGTAACTTTTTCTAGACACTATAATTGATTTTTTAATAAATTTCAATTAAACGTGTACACAAAGACAAACACGATACAGACACAGACACTAATATGTTGATGTGATTGAACGTAACCATGTTGCCAAGTTAGATACTGGACACATATTTGCTCTGAAGTGTCGGTGTCACTGAGTTAAATTTTGACATGGGGTGTGAACACTGAGCACATTCTGTCATGCAGTACATAACATGTTAGAGTTGCAGAATGAAGAGAGGTTCATTGGTGTAGCAGGAACAACTTTTTATGAATCACAAAACATTAACACCATTTTTGGTAGTGCAATGTCAAAAAGCTAATGTCATTTTCAACTTTTACACTACCCAATTTCTGCTTTCAAACATTAATAATCACAAGGTGGTTGCAAATATTGTTAAAGTGATCTGGACAACTCTTCATGGTCCTATGATGTTGCCCCATGTTCCCCAACAGCCTTGTTTATGTCAGCCTGTACCGTTGGAAATTTCAACAGAATATCTTGGTTACAATCATGTTACAAGTGTCATGCTCAATTGAAAATCACTGGTTTGTGAGTACTAGGCTGGTGTCTTTTCAATTTAACAAGATTTTTTTTTATTGTAACTGTCCCTTTAATTCTTAGTCCTTTCCATAATTTGTGCTGTGTTGCTAACACATTTAAAAGCAAAAGTAATATTATCATAATTTGTGGTTGTCACTGCAAAATTAAGAAAACATCAAGTTCCTTTTTTTAGCTTTTGAGTGGTCTCCAATAAAGATAAAAGGGCCCAAAAATATAGTTTGGCCTATAATCATGTGTAGATGACTCGTTTTTACAAACTTGACATTAAAACAAGTTTTGAACTAAGCAGAATGCAGAATTACCAACTTGGTGAGACGCACGTTCTGTTCCATTGGATCATACAATTGACAACTGCAAATAGCCAATATCACAACATATTGACTAAAATGCCTCTATTCTTCTTAATTAGGATTACTTACTACCAACTTCGATTGAGAAACGTATACAACCAGGGTTTTAAAAAACCGTTCTGATCGCGTAAAGACTTTCACAAATTTAGTCGATAGAGCTGATTGCGATCGTTGCGGTATGAATTTATTCAACTTGTCCTTTAATATAAAAACAATGATACTTTAACATAAAAACAATGATAATGGTATTTGTATTGGCATTTGTCGAAACAGTTTTGTCGCGACCGTTTTTTAAAATCTTGCATACAATTAATTATTCTTGGATCCCTAAAGGATAGTTCAAAGGATGAGGTTGTCCTCACATCTTTATACATTCAATATGAATTTACTTCAACTTGTTCTTTAATATAAAAACAATGATAATGTATTTGTATCGGCATTTGTCGAAATAGTTTTGTCACGACTGTTTTTAAAACCTTGCATACAATTAATTATTCTTGGATCTCTAAAGGATAGTTCAAAGGATGAGGTTGTCCTCACATCTTTATACATTCAATATGAATTTACTTCAACTTGTTCTTTAATATAAACACAATGATAATGGTATTTGTATCGGCATTTGTCAAAACAGTTTTGTCACGACCGTTTTTTAAAATCTTGCATACAATTAATTATTCTTGGATCCCTAAAAGATAGTTCAAAAGATGAGGTTGTCCTCACATCTTTATACATTCAATAGTCTCGGAACTTAAGTAATGTGAGACTTCAAATGAACTCTAATTGGGTCCGAGTCAACTTTCTACATTGAAATTGTTAACACAACTCTATACCATATTATGTTAAGAAATGTGGTTGAACTTAACTCATTCCTATAAAATCAGCTTGTAAGATGATGATTACTCTCACTTATAAGCCCATGCTCAAATCATATATTATTAAACATGAGGCATTTAATACACCCTCATACCTAGAATTGAACATAGCTCAATACATTTAACAATTTACAAACATAAGCAATGCGTGCCTTCAAACAAATTCTGATTAAATTTAAAAAATAAAAAATAAATAATGTCTTTTTGCATAGTCCAACAAGTACCAATCTGTCAATTTTTTTTATGTGAGATACCCTTTAGGAACAGGGCTCGTGCGAGTAGGGTATAGTCTTGTGTTGTACATTTCACTTCACCATCTTGTTCTGGAGTGGCTCTTTATTAATCTACCTTTGGACCACAATGCTATTGGTATTGGTATATTCTTTTGAATCTGCATTATATGTTAACTTTATGCAATTATTTGTTTCTTATCTGGCCCAAATCAAATATTTGATGCTTCTATTATAGAGCTCAAATATAAGAAAACATTGCTATTCCAAACTTTCTTTGTATTTGAAGCAAGGAAAAAGTAGACGCAGTCATGTTTTGCAGCATACCATTAACAAATGTCTAAACAAAACACAAATTTATTTAGAAATCGATTAATATACCTTTAGTAATTAATTACATTTATTTCATTTTTTAATTGGTCATTAATTTTTGTCTGATTTTATTGTTAGTTATTGAGTGGATAACTAGATAAAGATGAGCTTTTCCTCATTTTGAAGTCAGCCAACCTCTTTATTCTGTCAAATTCACGTGAATTGAGATGCCTTATCCACATGTGTGTTTGGTTCAGCATTAATTCAATGTAAAGGTGCATCCTGTCCAAACGAATCACAGAATTCCTTTTCCATTGAACAACATCGTAACATGATCCAAAAGCATGTCAAATCTTCTATACTATGCAAACAGTAATAATGTATATGATAACAAAATGACAGCAGAGAATACACAAACATAGGGGGGATAAGAGTTTTGAAGCACTGACACATAAAGACACAAACAATGAATAAGACACTCACTAAGGCTAACATGTAGACACTAACCATAACTTGCCAAAGTGAAAATATAATTTGAGAAAATGAAAATAATAGAATATAATCACATGAGTATATGTTGGCGTAGTACGAGTGTCGAAAACTAACACATATTGGACACTCGAACATGTCTTTAACTTGAAATGTCGGTGGTACATATGAAAAGAATGAAGGAAATAAAACTCGCATTCTTTGAATATAGTTTTTGTACCCAGATTACTCGTCACCCATGGCCAACTCCAAGGCATAGTCATCTCTTTCCTGTATATGAATTGTGTGTTAAAAAGGTCACATTTATCAAAGAAAACATCTGCAACCTTATTTCGACAAAAAAAAAAATAGTCATTTTTAACAGAACCTACCACTGCTCCTCTTGCAAAATAGCGTCCAAATTGAAGCCAATATACCTGTGAGTCAAGGATAGCATATATTCATAAGCAAATGATATAACAACATCGATGATGGTAATTTAATTTAGCCTCAAAAGCACAAGGTAGTTTAAGATATTATATGTAAATATTCAATGACAGAACAAATATATTATGCAAATATCCTAATTCTTCCCCTCAAGTTACCTATTTACTAAGCTTCAAGCTTCCTATAAATTAACACTTCGAGTTAGATGATCGCCAACCCAAAATATTTGATTATAATAGTTCACCTCAAGAAAGTGGAAAGATGCTCAGAGAAAATTTTCGAGTGAATTAAAGGATCAGAAAATGGGATTCTTTGCCTTCACAATATTTAGAAGTCTGAAGCAGCTTCGAAGTCAGTGAACTTGTGTAGCAAATACTTCTATATCAGATTCCTACTAGAGTCAATTTACACCAGAGGGGGGTAATCCCACACACGGAGAGCGTGCCTTGCTTGTCCTCTGGTCTAGTGCCGGAAAAATAGGATCATCTTTTCACACATTGCAATTTTGTCGTATTTTATATAATTTGTTCGGTTGGCTGGGATATATTTTGGTTATTTCACAGGATCCATTCTCCTCCTATGCAGGGTTTGTGGGTCTTGGTAACTCCTAGAAAACCAAGAAGGATTTAATGCTAGTTTGGTTGTGTACCGCCTGGTCAATTTGGTTAGCTAGGAATAATAGAGTACTTAGCAATTCGGAGGAAACGTGGAGGAAGTAGCAAAAAGAAATTAAAGTTCTCGCTTGGAAGTGGTTTCGCTGGACGTTGGCCAACACATTGTGCATGTATTATGCACGATGTTGGAATCCTGTAAGTTGCTTGCAGAGATAACATAGTTTTAATCGGTTGTCGCGGCAGTTTTTCTGGCGTTAATCTCTGCCGCCTTGCTTGGTTCTCTTTGGTTTCTGGTTCAGTTTTTCCCTAATCAGCAATTGCCTTTCAATTGCATTCTGGTGTGGGACCTGGGTCTGGTGTACGGGGTAGGGGGCTGTGGTTTCCACAGCTGTGCTGGTGTGCTGCAGCTGTTCGTGCCTGTTTGGTTTACTTCAGAGCTATGGTTTCTTACTATCTCCTTCTACCACCTTAGTTTGAATAAATCACAATAGCTCTGATCATTTGACCAAAATGAAAAATGATCTTTGTAAGCAACTTCACATAACTAGAAAAGTTCAAGAATAGCAATTAAAATTTTCAAACAAGAGGAAAATTTAGGATTTAGGAAAATCGGTAAGTTTCGAAATCAAATCAGGAAACTATGGGAGTCACGGACAACACATGTCACCATTGTTATGATTTGTTGGTAATTCCTCCTTCATTGCGGTCTGCCCCTAGACCGCCTAAATTGCCACATATGGCTTGCCTTCATTGCTGTCTCCAACACCTACAATGTGTTGTTTGAAGGGGTAGATTTAATCCAACAGTGCTCGGAGATATGACATGTGTTGTATTTATAAGTGAGGGCAATCCTCACCTTGCAAGCCGGTTTTATAAGGTTGTGATAGGTTCAACCACAATTCTAGGATGGTATCAGAGCCTATCCTAAATTCGTTGTTGGGCTTCCTGTATTGTCCACACTTCGGGCTCATCGAGGCCCAAGCGTGACGGGGTATGTTGGAAATTCCTCCTTCATTGCGGTCTGCCCTAGTCCAGCTAAATTATGATATTTTGTGTGATAAAAACTGACCTTGAAATTGTATACTCAGGTATTCAAGAGACCTAGACTTTCCACAACGAACAATTGATACCTTTTCCTAATCTTATGACTCCCTTATATACACTAACAACAACTACTAACTGAAATCTTAGTGTAGTCAGTTACATAGGGTTATTATTCCCTATTTTCCTCCAATTTCTTCTACTGTACACCTTTCTAAATAAAATCTCAGCTCCTTATCACTAAGAAGCTAAGAACTTAGTTTTCTTTAAATGACATCTATGGATTAAGCCTTGTGTTGCTTAGAGATATGGCATCTGATGTGCTTATTAATAAGAGCAATCCTCACTCATCATACAAGCCGGTTTTGTAAGGTTATGATAGGTCCAACCACGATTATAAGATGATTCATAAATGTAAAATGAGCCTGGAATGATTGAAAAATGGAAAATGTGTAAACCCTGAAATTATTGTTGATTTGAAAAGCATGGGTCATAAACACTGACCTTGAAATTGTATATCAGATATTCAAGAGACCTAGACTTTCCACAATGATCAATTGGTACGTTTTCATAATCTTACGACTCCCTTATATACACTAACAACAACTACTAACTGTAATCTTTTAGTGTAGTTAGTTACATAGGGTTATTATTCCCCATGTTCCTCCAATTTCTTTTACTGTACACCTTCCTAAGTAAAATCTCAGTTCCTTATCACTAAGAAGCTAAGAACTTAGTTTTCTTTAAATGACATCTATGGATTATGCGTTGTGAATGGAAAACAAAATAGACACTGTGAAAGCATTGTTCCCTTAAGTGAATCCATCTGACTTGACATGGATTCACTGAAATCCAATATGACTTTAAAACAGAAAGGGTTTCTCTAGCAACAAAATACTACTAAAACAAAACAGAATATAAAATAAGGATGTAACTCCTAAGGATCGTGTAAAATATTCTAGAATATTCAAAGGTACAAGAAAGATATTATGAATATTTTGCAGATAAACTAACCAGATAAAAATTTAAAACACCTCCTTACTGTTCATTTGATTTGGTATCTATTTAAGCAGTTGTCATAAATTTTAAGTTATGATTTGGCATCTTTTGTTGATATAAAGAGCATGTGTGACAAACACTGGCATTGATAAAGACATAGTACCACTAACATATCATTTTATAATTACATTGTTTAGGATAATGAGATGCTAGAGAATAGATATTAGATTGATATGGTGTATTTTGATGTTATAAATACACTAAATCATTCAAAATCTCTTTCGATATTAAAAATTAAGTCAAGTTCTAGTGAGTACAAGCTAAAGCCATTAATATTACTACAACGTACCAACACCTATTGGTCTAAGTAGCTAAGAATTTAGTTTCCTTAAACAAGATCTTTGAATTAAGTCTTGTAAATGGAAAAAGTATTAAGCATTATGAAAGCGTTGTTCTTTTAATTGAGTTCAACAGGCCTGACTTGGACTAGCCGAAATTCAATATGACTTTCAAATAACAAGGGTTTTAAGAGCAACAAAGACTACTAAAACTAATTAAACAGGGAAGCAAAACATAAATAGAGAGAACAAGGCAATTCCTAAGGTTGCTTCATCAATTAGAGGACTAATTGATTCCAAAGATCAAGTGAAATATTCAGGAACATTGAAAGGTACAACGAAGATATTATGAGATATTTTGCAGATTGATATATTAACAAAATTAAAGTTAAAAACATCTCCTTAGAGTTGATTTGATTTGGCATCTATTCAAACAGTTACTTATCATACAATGCAAGTTATGATTGCAATATTGCTTGTTACCTCATCTTCATCTTGAGTTTCTACTTCAAGGTCAGAGCATGGGAAACTCACACAAAGAAGTGCATAACCCTGAAATGATACAAAAATCTCACAAACATTTCTAACTGAGAAATAAGAGACACTAGAGTTTGCAATAATAATGATAATGCAACAAATAGAACATTTTCCCCGCAGTTGTTAACTACTATTAGTGTAAAATGAATCTTGCATAGCAAATGGCCTCAAACTACCCATTAGCTAGAAAATATCTTTGTTCTGTTGTAGGTATATATCTAATCTACTCGTTTGTGCAAGGGCCATTAAATTGAAACACCAATCAAGAAATCAAAATGCTAACAATACGTACAATCATAAGAGAAGTATACAAGAAAAATGAATCTGAGAAACCAAACTTCTACTTTTAATGAGTAAAACCTTTTCAATTCTCATTATTATTTTAATAACAAAAATTAACCAAAAAAACCCATGCTTATGCTTTTGTGTTCTGAATGTTTTTTAGTGCAAGTGATTCAGTGAGGTTAACATTCAAAAAGGATAAACAGCAGAATACAAATACACAGGAAACAGCCTTCAATTAACTGAATGGCCAACATAGGCATTGTAGTTCATTTTATGTGATGTTAAAGGAAAAAGAAAAAAACTTCAAGCTCGGTTCAGTGCATCGGCACTGCGACAGGACACAATTTTCAATGTGCTCTTTCTTGGTTTGATATCATACAAACACATTTAGTATTGGCTTGTTGAAACTGAAATGAAGTAAATATTTTCGTACGACTATAACCACAATTTCCTCCCCCTCTATAATAACATGCATAAAATATATTGTTTATCACCCTCAATATCTTCTTTTCCTCTTCAAATTTAGAAGGAAAAAAATAGGGCAAAAAAAATCTGATTCACTCTTTTGGCATCGTTGAAGATAATCATCATGCATTCCACCAAATCATCATGCATTGCTGCTTAACAAGTCAAAATGACCAATTCAATAAAAAAATATTCGTAGACATAGTTGTACATGCCTGCTCTCTCAATTCGGCAGATATCCCAAGTGCCTCTGGCTGTCTAATCTTCCCACTCTTTACACGAACAGCACAGCTTGTACAACAACCTTCCATAAAAAGTATCAAATAAGAAAAACTATATCAGGAAACTAGCAATAATATCATTAACCAAAAATTCACCGATCTAGATAGAAACAGAAGCAGCAGAGGAAACAAGTGTCAGAGATGCATTGCATGATCTACAAAGGAAAATTGTGGCAGACCAAGTTCCCAATTGGAAAGAAATTAAATTTTACACTAGTTTACATAAATCAAAATTCCATCTGTAATTCAACTATACATGAAAAAAAATGGAATCCATCATTCGTATATAAGGGCCATTACTAACGACTGAAGAAAATGGAAACAAATATGATAGGTTCATATAATCATATCATTCTTCCAATCATGGATATCAAATAAGACCTACTTTTTGAATGATGAATCAAAAGATACATTACCAATACAAATATGACATTTAAAGTAAAAACAAGTGTCATAACAGACATATAAGCTAATATACCATCTACAAAACTCAAAATAATTCAACATTCAAGTAATAAACCAAGATAAGATTCATGTTCATAATATATACACACTACAATGTGTATCTATTAGATTTAGTTTTTGTATCAAATCAAGATATGACATGCATGTATAGTAAGATTATGATAATTAACTTCGAAAAACCTAATTTGGAATAGGTAATAGTAGGTTAAGAGTGTAAATACCATGCCTGCAGGCAAATGGAAGGGTAATATTCTGAGACTCAGCAGTGTGCAATATATATTGGTCCTGCATTTCAAACAGAACAAAAATAGCATTAAAGTAGAAAATTGAATACTAGTATGTTGCTGAAACAGTGAAGGGAACATGCGAGGGTTAAAGCATCGATGGGATCATACCTCAGGAACTAGAAATTCGTGAACAATTCCACGTTCTCTGTCGTGGACTTTGACCTTATGGCTAGGAGCTTCAACATTCGGATACCGGAAATCCGTTCTGCCCAACGCTACCACTGGTGTTTGAAGCTCCGCTGCTGCCACCGTCGTCTTGCGGAGGCTTCTGGAAGGAAGAGAGTGCGGCTTCGTGGTAACAAATGGAATGGAAGAACTACCAGGAATTCGAAGAAGGGGTAGCGCCATTTTGTTCTTGTTCTTTGTTCGAAGTGGTGAATAGCATGTAAGTTACGGGATAACAAGAGCGAGTTAACACCCGCGCTCTTAACCAACCGTTAGATTCTATTCCAATTGCTAATCAGCACGTGTACGATCTTCAAAACTCTACTCAGGATTCTAGCGGATGTATTTTGTCCTAATTTTTATTTGCATTGAAGATGTTATTATTTTTCTTTTACAAAAGAATCAGACTTTATGTATTTCAAATAAATCCGGACATGAAGATGTTAATATCCACGTCCACCCCGCCTCACCTATTAAATTTATTTTATTTTTCTTATTTTTAATAATTTTAGTATTTATTTATATTTACTAATTTTAAAATATCAAATTTATTAGAATTATTATTTATTTTTAAACAAAAAATTTTCATTATTGATTTTTATTATTATAGAAAAAAAATATGCATTTAAAAAAATCACAATTTATATACGCAAAAGCGGGACAAGATGAAAAAATATGTTCCTCATTAGGGACGGGTGTGTACACTATTTGTTACCCTGATTGAATTTGGGAGAGGATGAGGTTGATAATATTTAAATTCGTCTCTGCCTCGTTGTCATGCTTAATCTTTTTTAAGAGTACATTAAGAAAGTCTATGATGCACATATTATCCTGGACTTTCAAATAGGCATTTTCATTACTTGTGAATGTTGATTACATTCCAATTATTTCTGTCAAACTTTGTAAATGTTCAAAATTTCTTTTGTCCAAAATGTTCATATTTATTGAAAAGGTATTTTCTATATAATGTTGTGTATTAATGAGACTACACTAAGGTATATTTATATTCATATGAGTGGTATACAATAAGATAATATAATTAATACAATTGATATACATTGATTCTAATTGATTTTTGATACTCTCCATCAAGCTGAATCATATATGTCATATGAGTTGAGCTTATTACAAATGTAATTTACTCGAGAATCCGTGAGAGATTTAGTGAACATATCAGTCAATTGGTCCTTCAGACTTGACGAAATTTGTGGTTATTTCTCCTTAAAGCACTTTGTCTCTTACAGAAAGATAGTTTATTTCTCTGTGCTTTGTCTGTTCATAGAAAACTATATTAGATGCAATGCAAAGTGTCGCTTGATTGCCGCATATGAATTTTATGGCCTGAAGATCTCCCAACCTAAGCTCTAAGAGTAAATTTTTAAGCCATACAAGTTCTTTTGAGGTTGAGGCCATAACACGATAATTAACTTCAGCACTAGATAGTGCAGCTGTGTTTTGTTTCTTGCTTATCCATGAAATCTATTTCCTCTAATAAGGACACAATATCCAAAAGTGGATCTCATATCCGACAGTGATCCGACCCAGTCTACATCTAAATAATAAGTGATTTTAGTATCACCCTTTTATTCATATAATAATATTCTTTCTTATATATTTGAGAATCTGAATAACTACGCTCCAATGACTATCACAGAAAGCATTCAGAAATTGACTCACAGTGCTCATTGCATATGTAATATCCGGTCAAGTGACTATAAGATAAATGAGTCTCCCCACAAGATGTTGATATCTTCCTGGGTCTTTCAATGGCTCCCCTGGTCCGGGAGAAGTTTGAGATTGAGACCCATATATTATCAATAGGATGACAATAAAGCATATCAGTTTCACTTAGGATGTCTAATGCATACTTACGTTAGTTAATTGCAATGTCTGGTGAGGACTAGGCAACTTCAATTCCTAAGAAGTATTTAAGTGGATCCAAATCTTTTTTCCGAATGTTTTTGAAAAGATAAGTTTTGAGTCGCTGGATACCTATGTGTTGTCTCCAATAATAGCAATGTCACCAACATAAACAACAAGAAAGATACATCGACTGGTAGAAGAGTGAAGGAAGAAAACAAGGTGATCTGCTTCACATTTAGTCATATCAAATTGTATCAAGCCATAGCTAAAGTGACTAAACCAAACACATGGGGACTATTTTAAACCATAAAGAGAACAAAGAAACCGACAAAAAAATATAGAATTACTAGGAACAGTAACACCTGGAGGTTGATTCATATAAACTTCCTCCTCCAACTCTCTGTGTAAATAGTCATTTCTAATGTCCAACTGATGAAGCAACCAATGATGAATGGCAGTCATTGCAAGAAAGAGGCAGATGATGTGTGTCTATGTGTGGTAGCTTATCCGGAAGTACACAGATATTATCAGAGTAATATAAAAGATATCGAACCCATAAAGATTAATAGTCAATTCTATCGTATTCTATTATCGCTATGTAATCTAAGGCTAACAGGTATAATTTTAAACTTTTTTGGAAAGAAAATAAAATAGGAAATAAAGTTTGGTTTGGAGAAAATTAATAAAAGTGAGACCGAAATATAATTTTCAATCGACCTCTAGGAATCAATAAATTCTTGGCGTTTGTTTTAGTTTTAAAATATTTTTCGAAAGAAAGTATCAATTTAAAAACACTGCTCATTTTCGTGCAACCCGTGTTATGTTTTGAAACCGTAAATGCTTGGTTGTCGCTGTCTCATTTACAATTTTGAAACACTATTTTAAAACTAATAAATCCTAGTTAATATCTAAAGCGGTGTCGCTATATTTAGAAACTAAAACCAATTTTAGTACCTGAGTGTTTTGAAATCGCATATGCAGATGTTGATCGGACACCGGTAAATAAATAAACCTTTGAACAGACACGCAACCATGCAGATGCAAATGCACGTATTGAAATTACAAATGGAGAAAATTCATCGGATATTGGTCTCACACTGTTGTATTGTTGACCAATATCTGAATGTTTTCACTATCATGCAAAACCTTTGAATTTTGACTCTTAAAAATCAGAACCAGAAAAACAAGTTAATATTAAAATCATACGCCAGTTGTGTAAGAATAAGATTTGGTTATACATCTGGCCTTTGAGTTTTGATGATAACTGCACATGTTATCTAAGAGAACAATTATGTATGAATGGTTTCCGTCTAATGTGTGACTGTTGTTAATATAATTCCGACTCTGGTAAAAAGACGTGTGACGTCATTAGACTCTGTTATCAACACCCTGGAAGAAAACATATGTGTGTACAAGATAAAGTAAAAGATTCATGAATGTTTCTAATACAACGGTTCTAATGAATGTTAGTTCTGGACATTCTAATTGAGACTTTATGTGAAAGGCCTATAAGGCTTTCTAATGTGGTGTGCTTCTAATGTTACAAGTTCTGAAGATTCTGAAGACGTGATCCAGGTGAACATGGTTCTGAATATTCTGAAGACACAATATTTGAAGGTCAAGTTCTGAAGAGTTTCTGAAGACAAGGTTCAGGTGAATAAAGTACTGAAGACTCTGAAGACAAGAATGTGCTTAATGAATTTTGAAGATTACACAAAGAATGACTCTTCTATAACACATTTCATCAAGTTAATATTTGAAACCTCTGAAAATGCTAGAACAGTGAAGATAAGAATGGTTTTAACTTGAACACAGGAAAACAAAAAACTGTGACATCTACCTCGATAAGGTGGCACAAGAGAAGCTTTTTGTACAGTAATGTTGACCATTCCTTCATGTGAACATTGGGATATTGTTGTTGGCATATGTTTTCAAAAATTCCCCTCAATGGATCTATTCTTTCATGCTCTATAAATTGAAGATCAAGAAGCTAGAAGAATTGCTAATAGCATATAGCAGATTGCTGGTGATAGCACGCTGATATGCAAAGCCAAAGTGCTAAAGAAAATTATACAAGCTGAAGCTTAAACGAAGAATGCTCAATGAAGAAGAAGCTGAAGCAAACCATTTGAATGTGTGTACAATGATGAAACATGCTAAAACCATGTATAATTTGTCAAGTGAAACATCAATAAGTGAAGCTTAGTAACTTAGTTGATCTTGATGGTTAAGCTGGAAGAAGAATTACCTGCTCAAAAACGAGTTCATCAAAGAAGCTTAAAGCTCATAAAAAGAAGCCGTAGTTTTCAAATAAGAAACCTTTTAAGCAATGAAAAACTAGAGCGGATACGATGCAAGTCTCAAGAAGACCAATCAGAAGATTAGTTTTGTATTAGCAAGCAAGGAGCTGCTGCTCAGATCTTGCTAGAAACACTTAGGTATTTGTGTACTTAATTTGTGTAATCAGATTGTAAGAAGCATTAAGTGTACATATAAAAATCCTTTGTCAAAATGTGATTGTATTCCTTGGGGGACTCTTCGTAGTCAGAATTCTCAAGAAGACAATGGAAGGTATCCATTGTAGGTTGATGATTTCCTTGAGCGACTATATGAAATCCAGAATGCTTGAGAGGGCTAAGCGTGTTGTTTAACAACTTAGAGGTTGTAATCATTTTGATGATTATTTAATTAAGTCCTTGTCTAAGGCAAAATCACCTTGGTGGATAGACTGGAGTAGCTTCGTTAACAGTGAACCAGGATAAAAATAATTATGTCATTTATTTTTATTGTTCTTATTAAATTTATCTTTCTAATTCCACAAAAGGGGACAAAATGTGAAACCCAATTCAAACCCCCCTTTCTTGTGTTTCTTAACCTTTAATTGGCATCTGAGCTTCGGTTCCGTTATTGATGTTTATCAAAAACTTAACTGTGTTAGATAAAGATCCAGACGAGCTTTGAGAAATGCTTTGGCTAATATCCTCCACCATTTACAGTTTTAGTCTCATACGATGATGAAAAGATTGAGTACTGAAATGACAAACCAGAAACATTCATTATGGATTGTGTAACTGATTCTTAGAGCTGGTTGTTATTGACAACATAATATTCTCTTATGATGCTTGCAAAAAGACTGAAAGCAAGATGAATAATCAGCTAGTAAAAGGTTAATAGACTCATCAGATAATTAGAAGAACCTGATGAATGCTATTCTTGAAATACGTTAGATGAGAGCTATGTATCTCCTCAAGATGATGCCTAGACAAGTCTTAAGAAGAATGATCTAGAAGAGATCAATAAGAATCATCACAAAGCATAAA